AACTCTTTACAGTCTCCTGCTTCTATACTTGCCCTCCATATTTTCATTTCTCTGCAGTGTTCCTCATTCTGCTCTGAGTAAAAACCACGATCCCTACATAGGGTTACAAGATGCTATGTGATCTCCTGCTCCTATCAAATTGACTAAGAACAGAAAATTTGATAATGCTCAATGATGTGGAAAATGTGGGGAGATAGTTCCACTGCTACATTATTAGTGGGAGTGCAATTTATTAATTTTTATAAAAAACTTAAAATGAGGGCTGGTGGAGGGGCTCAAGTGGTAGAGTGCCTGCCTAACAAGCCTGAGGCCCTGAGTTCAAACCCCAGCACCACATACACACGCACAAATTTAAACTGAGCATACTCTATGACAATAGAGTAATTCCATTTACAGGAATTTTTTTATGCAAATACATAAGTGGTCAAAGATACATATGTGATGTTCACTGCAGCATTGTTTGTCATGGCAAAATACAGTGCATCCATACAATGGAACACCATGCATAACATGGATAGTCTGGAAAGATCTTCAAGATATATGACTAAATGCTAAAGGGAAGCAGCAAATCAGTAACTACAGAATAATGTTATTTAATAAAAGGTAATATATATAAATATGCTATCTGTAAGTGCATTTTACATCTGAAAGGATTACTAATAACTGATTGTCTGCAGAGAGACGCTGTAGGATCAGAGTATGAGGGAGATAATTCCTTTTCCTTGTATAACAGTATAACATTCCAATTTCAATTCCTTTCCTCTTTTTTTTTTTTTTTTTGGTGGTACTCTGCTAGCCCTATTTGTGATTTTGTGTTGGGTATTTTTGAGATTGGTTCTCTTGGACTATTTGCCCAGGCTGGCTTCTAACAGTGATCCTTCTGATCTCTGTCTCCCAAGTAGCTAGGATTATAGGCGTGAATACTCGGCAATTCCTTTTTTTTTTGAGACAGTCTTGTTACATAACCCAGACTGCACTTGAACTCATGATCTTCCTGACTCAGCCTTTCAAATCCTGGTAGTACTGGTGTATGCCACTTTACCTGGCTTCAGTTACTTGTGTGTGTGTGTCGGGATGGGGCGGGGGGACTGGAGTTTGAACTCAGGACTTCATACTTGCAAAACAGGTGCTCTACTGCTTAAGGCACACTTCCAGTCCTACTTTTTAATTATTTGTTTTAGGTGTATGTTAGGCCTTGCATTTGCTAGTCAGGCCCTCTCATTTTTTTTTTTTTCTTTCAGTGCTAGGGTTTGAACTGAGGGCCTGTAACTTGAACCACTCCACCAGCCCTTTTTTGTGATGGGTTTTTTTCAAGATAGGGTCTCATGAAGCATTTCCCCGGGCTGCCTTTGAGCCATGATCCTCCTGATCTCTGCCTCCTGAGTAGCTAGGCATTATTGCCTGGCAAATTTTTATCTATGTCCATTTTCTTTTTTTTTTTTAATGGCACTGGGATTTGAACTCAGGGCTTCACATTAGCTAGGCAGACACTATTACTACTTAAGCCACTCTACCAACCCTGCTTTTGTTAGTTTTTGAATAGGGTTTCACATGTATGCCTGGGCTGGCTTGGACCAAGATTCTTATTTATGCTTCTGGTATAGCTGAGATGACAGGTGAGCACTACGGTGCCCCGCTAATTTAATGAGATGGGGTTTTGTATTTTTTTTTTGTCTGGGCTGACCTCAAACCTTGATTCTCCCAATCTCCACCTTCTGAGTAGCTAAGATTACAGATGTGAGCCACCACTCCTGGCACCTGTATTTACTTTAAATTCATGTGGCTTTAAAAATTATTTATATGCTTGAATTAAGTCACACAGGATTATAGAATGGAATATATATACATATATACATATATATACACACACACACACACACATATATATATATATATATATATATAGAGAGAGAGAGAGAGAGAGAGAGACAGAGAGAGAGAGAGAGAGAGTTTGCTGCAGTTCATATTTTTAAATCTTTTTTTTTCCCTCCAGTACTGGGGATTGAACCCAGGGCCTCATGCATGTGCTCTACCACTTGAACTATGCTAAAACAAAAACTTGTGTGCTTTTGTTTCTGAGACAGGGTCTTGCTACCTTTTGCCTGGGCTGCCTCCAAACTTAGTCCTCCTGTCTCTGTGACCCTCCCCCTGACCCCCGCCCCAGTACTTGGGATTACAGATGTGTACCAACATGTCTAGTTTTAAAACTATTTGGATAAAGAAAACAAACAAAACATACTATTTGTAGAAAAATTTAGAAAAGGGTAAATAAGGCAATGAAACCACTAGCAATCCATTAACAATTCTGGGATATTTTCTGCAAAAGACAGAGTACTGATTCCTTGATGCCATTTGGGGGATGGGCAGGTGTCTGGCAGTTTGGGATTCCTTTATTTGGGAAACCCAGTAGAAAAGGTCTTGTGCAATGGTTCAGCAAACATTCACCCATTGTGCTCAGAGAGATTAGTGAGGTCACCCTAATTCTGCAAGCAGATGTTTGCAAACTGAGATAGGAAGTCTTCTGTCCCAGCAAGGATCACGTGGTCTTTTAGCAAAAGGCGTTTCTGAAGTGCAAGAAGAAATTGAGTTTTCTGAGTCGGGTGTGGGTGGCTCATGCCTGCAATCCTAGCTACTCAGGAGTCAGAGATCAGGAGGATTGCCATTCGAGGCCAAGCCAGGAAAATAGTTCACAAGACCCTATCTTGAAAAAAATCATCACAAAAAAACAGGGCTGGTGGAGTGGCTCAAGTCATTAGAGTACCTGCCTAGCAAGTGTGAGGCCCTGAGTTCAAACAACATTGCCATCAAAAAAAAAAAAAAAAAAAAAAGTTTTTTGGAGTGTCAATGTGCCTGTGTACCCCCCTCCACAGAACTGGTTCAGATTCTTGGTCCAGAACACTGGGTCTGTGTGAAGGGCCTATACGGTCGTGTGGACTCTGGATGGCTTACCTATGGCCAGTGTCTCAGCAGCATGTCTGGGATCAGGCAGGGGAGCAGTTGGTGGGCAAAGCTGCCTCCAGGGACCAGGTGTGGCTGATGCTACCGACCTTCCCCTGGTGCCTGATAAGGGACATTTCTCCAGTAAGCTTGCACTACTCCAGGGACCAAGGTGACCTCTTACATTTGCAAACACAAGAGAACAGAGCTCAGCAGCAGACTGATCAGACCCTGGTGAGAAAAATGTGGATGGACCCTTGGTATCGGCTTGGAAGAGGCAGTGGGGGGAATCAAACCCACCATGCCAAACTCTTTCCTGGAAAGGAAATTGGAAAAACATCCTGCAGGCAAACAATTCAGTCCTAATTAAAAATGAGGTAATCCATCAGATTTAAGCAGAGAAAAGGGCTTGAAAGAGGAAAAGGGCAAGTAAGAAATTAGGAGGATGCAGACTTCTTTGAGCCCACCTGTGAGGAGCTGTGCAGCTTGGTAGGATTATATTTAAGCCAATAAAGCAAAGGGGTACTGGGAGAGAAAACTCAGAAGTGGAAGGACAAGGTAAAATGGGATCCTGACTTTTAAACAAAACCAACATCATACTTGACCCTTCTCTGAGTCTTTTAGGTTTTTCAATGATGACACCTAACTAAGGGAAAGGATGGGAGAGGCCAGATGCCTGAGAGGATAGGAAAAGTAGAAGGCTAAGCAACCAGCTCGCCCAACTAACTTCCTAATCTACTATACAGATGAGGAACACCAGGTTCAGAGAAAGGATGCTGATTTCAGAAGGAAACCAGCCTTGGCAAGTGAAGACTCTTGCCTTCTGGTCTAGTGCTAGAAACCTCTGCCTGTTAGGAATGATTCACAGACTAACAGGAAGCTGGAGATTAAGTCTGGGCAGAGATGGCATGGCTGACGGGTTTGGGGGGCACCCCTATCAGGCTCTACCACCGCTCTTCCTGGGCAATCACTGATGTTCCTGAGCCTCCATGATGCTGCTTCCAGGCCAGGAGTGAAGATTAGGAATCATGAATCTGGCCAGTATGGCAGGTGTGGCTGAGGGAGTAATTTCACTGCTCTCAGGGAGCACATGGAGGGAGGAGAGTTGCTGCTAGAAGGAGCTAGTATAAAGGGAGGTGCTGCCATCCTCACGCCCAGTCATACAGTCAGGTTCCACTGACCCCCGAATTAAAAGCCTGTGTTACCAACATGGACATGTTCACCTTGTATCTCTCTCTCTCTCTCTCTCACACACACACACACACACACACACACACACACACACACACACACAAGCTGTCCAGAGTCCCAGCCATAATTCCAGGAGGCCTTCAGAGCTGAATGTCATGGAAGGTGGCCAGCATAGACTACATTAGGGAGTTTTGGACAAGTCATGTCACACCTTGTGACCTGGAAAGGAGGACTTTCTCAGCTGGGCTGGCTGCCCCTCATTCACCTGCAGGTCTTTGCCCAGTTCCATTTCTAACAGGAAGTCCAGAGAGAATCTGAAATAGCTCCTGGAAACCTGGACTCTTTCCCAGGTTCTCATTTCTGGCCTGTCCTTTCCCGAACTGAAAGTTTCAGAGCTGAAGGTACTTCTGAGGTAGAAACTGGGTTTTTCCCAGATCCACTTCCCTAAACCTGAGAAGAGATTTGAAGGTGACAACAGTTTGAGACCCAGTTGGGTTTCACTTCACTTCATGGCAACAGGAGGCTACAGTTAACTCTACCCTTCAGCCTGACTCTCCGAATTGGCTTGCCCACACCACCTGATACATGCAGGAGCTTGAGTGCACACCGACAGTCTTCCTTCCCACCTCCCTCTCCAAAGGGATGCCCACCCTTCTGTCCCACCTGGTGCTGGGTCAGAGGAATCCCCCAACATTAGGTGCAGCTCCAGGCCTAAGTCCCATTTCTCCAACCCATAGTTATCTGCTAAGGTGACTAAAGCCAGCTCCCCTGTGGAGTGCTGTCTCACAAGGTTTCGAGGCATCCTCTCAGCCTGGTGCCCATGCAGTACTCACCCACTTGTCCACCCAAGTCCTGTCACACAACAAACCAAGTCAAGGAAGAGAAGGGCCTCCATGTTTATTAGGGATACTGCAGAAGCAGAGGCTGGAAGCAGAGCAGCCGCATTTTTAACAGATAAATTAACTGCAGTGCGGGTTGGGGGGTGGGGACTGGGCAGGCGCTTTAATATAAAAACAACAAAAAGACAGACCCCAAAGACATGGGGCAGGGGAGGGCAGCACCATCCAGACAGCAGGAAGGACCAGGGCAGAGAGAAAAGGCAACTTGTCCCCATCAACCCCAAACCCCACTGGCACAGGGCCTTCATAGTGGCCCCATGGGGGCTTTGGAGCAGGGGAGCAGCCAGGTTGGGCAGAGATGGCACAGCTGGTGGGCAGGAAGCCCAGCACCACAAGATGGCTCAGCCTGAAGTGGGAGCTAGGAGGGCTGGAAAGAGTGGCCTTGAAACCCCCCCCAAGTCCCTTAAAGGATGAGCCTTACTCTGGGTGAGTGAAGGGACCAAGGGTGGGGTCTCTCCCTGAGCTGAGCATGGTCATCTCATCCACAGCAGCGGTGGAGTATGTCAGGGACCCCTGTCACCTTCTCATCCACCTGCGTCCTTGGTCCCTTCAGGGAGGACTCTCTGGCTTTGAGCCATGGGGCATGAAGAGCAGGTCCAGTCTGGAGTCCCCACCTCTGGAGGGGTTTATGGTGGGCATAGCCCCTCAGCCCTGACTCCCACAGGAGGACAATGAGTCATAGAGTGAGTCACTGAGGGACTCCGAGGTCTCCAGCCCTGGAGCAGCCCCACTGGCCACTCTGCCTTCCTCGCCCATATCCGATGTGCTGGGGGTGCGACTGCCCCCAAATGCTGGGCCCTGGGGCATAGAGGATGGGTGGCTGGGCTCCAGACTCCGCTTTCGGTCCACGGGCAGTGCCTGGAAAGGAGGGACTGCTCAGAGGGCACTCCTCCTTACCTCCTGGTCCAATGTGAGAGGTACTGGGCTCTGAGGGGTATTCTGCCCACTTGGTGAATGTGCTTCAGGGGGTCCACCAAGATGGGGTGTTCTTTAGAGGAAGCAAGCTGGAGATACAACTACGCAGTCTTACCAAGCTTCCAGGGAGCTATGGAAACCTTTTCTCTAAGTAGGGTGGGTGCCCTAGAGGGGCATCAAAGGGGTGCTTCCTCAGCCTTCTCGTGGACAGGGCAGGACACAGGCTATATGCAGTTCACCACAGAACCTGGTCTTCCCACATCATTCCCTCTTCTCTTTCCCTTCTGCAATTCTCACCATGGGGTTCCTGGGCAGCCCCTCCAGCTGCCGGGGTGGGCATAAGAAGGAGTCAGTGGAGCTGCTGGCTGCCCTGGTGTTGGGGAAGGTCCAGTTTTTAGCCAGCTGGACAGGAGGAGCAGGGCCTGGGTGTTCACAGGGATCTGTCCAAGAACAAAGAGAAAGTGGATGGAATTGCCCAACTCCCAAGGACGTGTTTGGGGACGTCCCACCCACCTTCCAGGACACTCACCATCAGGACAGGTCTGATGGCCTCGGTGGCCTGGAGTAGTGGCGAGCAGCGCGGGAAAGGCTGGCATGCTGGGGTGCCGCCCACTCACCAGCAGCTCCTCTATGCCTGGCACCTCCCGCTCCAGTGTGTGTGCACGGCGAGGGACTTTGGTAAGGGCTGGGGGCCGAGTTGGGGGCACCCCTGGTGGGGGCTCCAGCCGTGGTGGCTTGGTCTTGGGAAGATTCTTGCTGGGGGTCCCACTGCTGCCATGATCTGGGGGCGGGAAGGTTCCAATGCCACTGTCCAAGGTTCGAGTCAAGGAGCTGCAGGCTGGGGAGGAGAGGGCATGTGGACGGTAAGGTGGAGGCTCGGCCCCTCTGCCTCTTTCTATAGTTTTAGGCCCCACTCCACTCAGGGCCCTCCTGACCCACAGAAACTGCTCCTGACTCCCCACTGGCCCTGGGATTTGAGCAAGTACCCCTGAAAGCAGGGAGGAAGATTATTCCCATTCAGCCCTGGAGCCCCTAGTCCGGAGCACGCAGATGGCACACAAGACCTGGCACCTGCCATGGTGATAGGAAAGAGTGAAGTGGGGAGGGGTTGGGGCAGTTCCCATCCTCAGTCCCCAACCCTGTTGACCTGTGAAGTGTGCGGTGGGCACTGGCTCTGCCAGACTGTCCTCCGAAGGCATCTCTTCTCGTCCGCCTGGCTCGCTGCTAGGCTGTGTGGGTACAGGAGACCTGGGTGACCATTCCCATCCTTCCCCAAAACCTGCTGTGCCTCTGGAGAGTATGAATGTGGGTGTGGAGTCTGGGAGTAGGGGGCATCAAGGCCCATACAGTATGGTTCTGACACCTAGCTCTCAGAAAGCCCCTCTCCCCTTCCAGTCCCCTCCCAGACCATGAACACACCCAGCAGCTTCCAGCTCCCAGGGAGGAGACCCTCCACAGAGCCAGGCCCTCTACCCAGTCCATGCCCAAGAACTTACCATTCTGGGAGGTTTTCCGCAACCCTGAAGTGGGCCCACCAGGCCATTCCTGGGCCCACAGGCAGGCCAGGGGCTCTTGGGGTCAGTGGACACTGGCTGGAAATCCCCATACTCAGGCTTGGGCTCTCGCCAGCTCTTGGGCGGCAGCTCCTTGCCATCCACCCTAGGGCAACAGTGCACATGTAGCTGAGGGATGTTGGTACCTAGCAGATTGTCAGATGCTGTGGTTTGCATATAGTTTGAGTATCCCTCAAGGCTCCAGGTGTTGAAATTTAATTTACATTGTGAGTATTAAATTAAGAGGCTAGAAACTTAGAATCTGACTATAGCATTTAGCAGTGGAGCCTTTGGGGATCTGGGTATGGTGGTACATGCCTGTAATCCCAGCTACCTGGCAGGTGGAGATTGTGAGGATCACAGTTTGAGGCTAGCCTGGGCAAAAAAGTTAGTGAGACCCAATCTCAATCAATAAGCTGGGCGTGGTGGTGCAGACGTGTCATCCCAGCTATGTGGGAGGCACAGATTGGAGGATTGAGGTCCAGGTGGGTCCAGGTAAAAAACTATCTCCAAAATAACTAAAGCAAGAAAGGACTTGGGGATGTGGCTCAAGTGGTAGGATGCCTGCCAAGCAAGCATAAGGCCCTGAGTTCTTTGGATGGTGATTAGGATTAGACATGGTCATTAGGGCAGAATCCCCATGGTTAAAATCCTGATGGCTTTATAAGACCAGCAGAACCACTCATACATATTCACACTGCCTGTCCCTTACCATGTGATGCTCTGCGCCACCTCAGGATTCTTCCAGGAAGAAGGCCATGACCAGACGCACCCCCTACACCTTATACCTCCAGAACCATGAAACCTCTCTTTTCTTTATAAAGCAGCCTGCCTTGGTTATTTCATTACAGTGGTGAAAAGTGGATTAATATATCACCCTAACACTGTCTAATGGTGCTGGGCCTAGAGAGGTACTCACTGTCATTCATCCTGGGGGAAGGGGTTTCTCTTAATCACCCCTGACACTGGCAACAGACAGGGACCCTGGAAAATCCCAGAGAAACAGCAGGGACAGGGGAGAAGTCCTATTCCAAAACTACCTGGGTCAGAACCCTGGTCTATGCACAACACTCCTGTTTGCTCTCTTGGAACTTCTGAGCACACTTGCTGTCCAAACCTCACATGCCTACTTGGGGCCATTTGCTTATCTTCTCCCTGTAGGGACACAGCAACACCAAGATGAGTGGGTCTCTTCTCTAAGCCATCATCCCCCTTGTGGCAGGTGCCAAAGGGTAATGGGAAGGGGCCCTTTCTTCAAGAAAGGCTTTCATCAGGCCATATTTAGGATCTAGCATTCACTTAACTACCACACGCAGGCACCTTAAAAATGGGGATCATTGCCAGTGGCTCTTGCCTGTAATCCTTGCTGCTCATGAGGCAGAGATCAGGAGAACTTCAGTTCAAAGCCAGCCCCAGGAAATAGTTTGTGAGACCCAATCTCAAAAAAAGCCATCACAAAAAAATGGCTGGTGGAGTGGCTCAAGGTGTAGACTCTGAGTTCAAACCCTAGTACTGAAAAAAAAAAAGGGGGGGCATTAACTCTACTCAGATGAATTAGCATCAGCAGGTGTGATGACAATGGCCAGCAAGGAGGGGAGCAGGGGTGAAACCCCAGACTTCTGATTCGAGTACCTATCTTTCCTCCAGGCCAGGTCACTAATCTCCTCCCATCCCCTAGTGCTGTGCTGGTACCCTATCCTCCTTGAACTCTGGGAAGCCCCACCTCCTAAAAGGGCAGTCCCAGATCCAAACTCAGGTGTGCCCCAGCCCTCTAAGCACCTGCCAACTGGTCCCAGGCCCTCACCTGTTAAGCAGCTGTTGCATAAAGGTGTCCGCACCCTGGTACATGCCAGCCAACTGGCCTTGCACCTGCCCCAGACTTGGGCTGGCCCCTGTGGCTGGGGCCCCCGGCCGTGAGCGAGCTCTGCTGCTCAGATAGGCTTTTTCCTCCTCCAGCGCTCGGCGCAGGTCTTCCGCCTTAGCCATAAGCTTGGAGATGTTGAGGCTCTCAGCCTCCAACTTCCGGGCTTCCATCTTGACCTCCTTCCGGTGTGGGGAGCCCCCGCTGGCCCCTTCCTTACTCTTGGTGGCCTCTGTGCGACGGTTTAGCGCTGGCAGCTTGCTCTTTTTAAGGCCAAACCAGCTGGCGATGCTGCTGGTATTGCGGTGCTTGGCCTCAGAGCCTGGTGCCCGTTCCTGGCCCTGGAGCCGCAAAACATTTTCCTCAATGCCCTTCATCACCTTCTCTTCGATGGCTGAGTGAGGGGCCGGCCCCTCAGGTCCCTGGCTTGGGTCAGCTGAGCCAGGTACTGGGGATGTGGGCTGGCCTGTGGAGCTGTCACAGTCTGCCCAAGGTTGGCCCTTCCCCTTATCAAGCTTGGGGGACTCCTTGGTGACTTGGGGGCCCCCAGGTCGGGGCACCACCTTGGTGGGTGACTTGGAGGGTAGCTTTGTAGGGCTGCTGTGAGGGCTCTTGCTGGGCTTGCCCAGGCTGGGGGCTGAGGTTGGCACTTTTGCAGGGATTCGGGGCACCTGGGGGCACAAGGCCCCTGCCAGCCGGCTCTTGGCCAGCTCCACTTTGGTGAGGCAGCTCCTTGGTGAGACAGGCTCCAGGTCCACCCGGGCCCCCATGGAGTGGGAGGAGTAGACTCGGGCCCCAGGATCCCCAAGTCCAGATTCTTGCTGCTTCAGGCTGCTTGTACCTAAGGCCACTGCTCCCCGCAGGACCCCCTTAGCTTCTGGCTGCTCAAGGGGTCTGGTCGTGGGGGGAACCATGTCTCCAGTACTCTCCCCTGACCTCCCTGGTCCCCGGGACTTCTCAGTGCTAGGCTTGGCTGGCACCCCATTCTTCTCTGGACCCAGAGGCCCCTCGGGGCCTGTCTTCAGTTTCCCCAGGGCTGCTAGTCTGTCCCGCAGAGGTATATAGCCAGGATCCCCAGGTCGCCGTCCTGACCCCTGGCTAGGCTTCTTGGATGAGCTACCTGGGGTCCTGCGGCCAGGGTGGGGTGACTCAGAGCCTGTCTTGTCCAGACTCTTCTCCTGGGGGCTCCCATAGGAGCAGGATTCTGGGAGGCAAGGGCTGGGGAGGACTCCAGGGCTTCTGAGGACCTCTGAGGCCTGTGGTACCTCCAAAGTCAGCTCTGAGTAGGTGGGCACCTGCAGTGAGGATGAAGGTGGTTCTGGGGAAGGTCCCCTAAAGGTGCTCCGGGAGAGGTCCAGGATATTCTCATAGCAGGGAGACACCACTGATCCTGGGGACAGTGTGGTGGACAAGGCTGACTGGGGGGGTCTGAGCTGTGCAGAGTCCGGGATCATGGAGCATGGTGATGGGCTGTTGGGCAGGCCCTGTGCCCCGTCAGGGGACAGCTCTCCTCCACCCAGACCCCTGCGTGCCAGCAGTGGGGAAGGGCTGCCATCTGATCCACTATTGCGACAGGGGATTCGGGAATTCCTGGAGAGCTGCGGGCTAAGCTGGGGGCCTCCTGGGCTGGGGATCTTCTCTGAGGCTGGAGGCAGCTTAAGGAATTTGAGACCTCGGGCTGGAGAGGGCAGAAGGGATCCCTGGGCTTCCCCAGGAGAAGGGGGCCCAATTTGGAGCTTGCTTTTCACCTGAGATGAGGAGTGGAGGTGGCCAGGACGTGAGCCCAGTGGGGCATCCCCTGAACCCACAAACATGCTGAGGAAGGGGAGGGGCCCCTGGCCCTCTGAGGTAGCACCAAAGCCCAGCCTGTTGGTCTCTGGGGTGCCCCCACCCCAAGCTGACTTCGGGAGGCCTTTGAACTTGGACAGTTGTGGGGGCCTCTGGTCTGGGGAGGTTGACTGCCCAGGACCTGGGTGGTCTCCATTGAGTGTGCCTGCAGCCCCGGCCAGAAAGGCCTGTAGGTAAGTCTCTGTGTCTTCAAGAAGTTGGCCCAGGTTCAGCTGTTTGTGGGCCAGGGCACCCAGAAGGGTATCAGGGCTGGGCGCCTCATTGGGATCACCTGCCTCGTCAGAAGAGGAGGAGGAGCTGCTGCCTGGGGCACAGTGTGGACCAGAGTTAGGGCCCTGGGCTGGTGGAGGGGCCCTACTAGGACCCCAGGGCTGCCTAGCACCTTCTTCCTCCTCTGGGCCTCCCAAGAGGCGCTCCCAGTGCAGTAGGCCTCCTAGATTACCAGGGCCAAGTAGCAAGTAGGGGGGCCAGGATGAGGGCTCAGGCTGGGGTGGGCCACACAGCTCGCCATTGATGGGCTCTGGGGAGCTGGGACCCTGCCCTGGGGGCCGCCAAGGAGTGGCAGGTGAGCACAGAAGCAAAGGATCCGTCTCTTCCAGGGCTCGCAGCACCTCCAAAATCTGGGCTTTCTTGCGAAGAAACGGTGACAGAGCATCCAGCGCTGGGGGTGGGGCAGGTGGGGGGCCTGGGCCTCCTGGCCGCAGCTGTTGCTCCCAACACACCTGGCAAAGAGAAGGCATGTTGTGCTAGCATGTTGTGCTGGGCCCAGGCCCTGAGCTGGACACCACCAAGTACACCATTAACAGGGCTGGTCTAGCTGTGTCTGTATCCCTAAAAGGAATTCATAGCTCTTGGGGTATAATGGCTCACCTTTCCTATGGGTTGCTGGGCTCTGGTTACTCTAGCTCTTGTACCTGGCACATCTGGGGTAGGGTGGGCACCCTATATTTCCTTAGTTATCCTAGCCTCCCATCCCCAATGCTGTTTGGATGGGCAGGACTAACCAGCTACAACTCTGACCTCTGTGTTTTCCCCAGGGAGGGAGGGCTGTCCATTCTTCAGGCTCCAGAAAAAAACAGACAAAAGAAGAGGGTATGACAAGGCTGAGACCTAAGTCAACCATGCAAGCAGGCCCAGGACTTCACTGGTCAGACAGATGACCCCTGTCCTGATCCCCAGCAAAAGGAGACTGGGGATGACTCCATGAGAATCCGTCCCTGCTGTTACCCAACCCCTTTTTGAGTGAGGCACAGTAATTAACTACATCCACTCTGGAGTCAGACAGTGTAGGCTCAAGTCCCAGTCTCTCCTCGCTATATGATCTGCAGCAAGCTATTCGACAGCTAAGCTTCATGGAATCATCTGTAAAATGAGATGATAATTATGTTTAACCTCATAAAATAAGAGTCCCAAGGTGCCCCTCACAGTGTTGGTATGGAACGAGTCCCTAAGCGTTAACTATGACTCTCACTGCATTACTAATACATTTGCTCACAGGCCAATGGCTGGGGGTGGGACCTGTTTTTCTTGGTATGAGGCTGACAGCTGAGGGTTCACACTTCCATCCTGGACAACAATCTGTGCCCAGGAAACAGCTCTTCCCCTGGAGCTTGTTAGGAACAGTCGTAGAGCACCAACCAACCAGCCTGTAGCCAGGGGGCCACAGACCCCTCTGCCTATCTCTCCTACCTCTCTCTGTCCAGCACAGTGTCCCAGAGGCAGCGAGGTGGCTGGTCCTTCAGCAGCATTCAGGGAGGGGGAGGCTGGTGGCTCTGATGGTGGCTGGAGCGGGGTGAGTGGGATCTGCAGAGGGAGAATTAGCAGAGTGGCTGTCTGGCCCCTCAGAACCAGGCTTTCTCATCCAGGTGGACCCCTCTAGGGACATCTTCTGACCCAAGGTGTAGCTCTTGCTACCATCCCCATGGCTGGTTAGAGGAGCCTCCAGAAAGCACAGCACATGTAAATTTGAAAATAGTGCAGGTCCAAGTGGGACAAGCCTCAGGATGAGTGCCCCGGGCCCAGAGGGTGGTGGCAAGTCTAACCCAGCATGCTTTACTTTTCTGGGAGACTTCCCTATTTCAAAGAGGGCTACCACGAAGGTCCCTTCCTGTTCTGACCACCTGTGATTACAAGACAACTGATATTGATGGTCTTAGGAAAGAGATGGCAGGGAGGTGTTATTTTTGCGTCCCTGACCTGGTCTCATGTGAAACATATACTCCACAATTGCAAAAGGAGGATTTCATCATGGGCCACTTCTCTCTGTCCCTGAGAATGTGATTACTTCTCCCAGGCATCTCATCTCAACTGGGTATGAGTCAGCTTTGACCCCTCCCTGGCCTTTGCTCCCCTCAGCCTTCAAACCCTGTATTTGCATTGTGTCTTGACCTTGCCTCTGGCCATCTGCAGCCAACTCCTTCAGTTTGGATCTTCTGTTCTGGCCTGGACACTGTCAGTCTCCTTGACCCAGTTTGGCAGCCTTTTAGTCTCTCATGTACAAGGATGTTAAGCATTTTTTTTTCCTTTCCTTTCCTTCCTTCCTCCCTTCAACTTTTTCTTTTCTTTTCTCTAAAGTAACTTTGTGTTCAAAAGTTTCCTAGGCTTGCATGCTATCCATGAAACCAAATCTGAATTCCTCTGTGGGTCTACCAGACTGGTTCAGGGTTCTTCCCCTGAACCATCTTTGGATCTTTTCACTCACCGTCCTTTTATGCATCTTTTGCTCTAGTCAAGCAGAATAGCTTGCCACTCCCTAAGCCTCCGTGTCCTGAATCTTTGCTGATGCTGATCTTTCCACACGGAATCTCTTCAGTCTCTGTATTCTTTGTGAATCTTCTGTCCATCCAGGCCCAGGTCCAATGTCAACTCCTTATAGGAATTTTCTTTGAGGGCCTACCTACCCTCTCAGGCCCTTGGACAGATAGACCTGCCTCCCAGGGTTATGTCCACTCTGCCCAGGCCACAGCTCTTAGACAGAGCCTTGTAATTCAGTCCAATTCCATATGTGTGGGCAAAGACATTGCTCATAAGAAGAACTTCATTAGCATTTGCTCAAAGGAGTTTTTGGGCTAGCAAAGCCCAACTTGGGAATCACAGTAATATAAACAGCTTCTATTTATTCATGTTCTATGATGGGCCCAGCACTATATAGTATTTCGTATTAATCTCACAACACAAATACATCAGGCAATATTACTACTAAGATCGTCACTTGATATCTGTCATTTGTATAGTGGATAAAAAAAACGTAACACAATTATTCTGTAGAAATTGACTCAGTGAGCATTACTAAGTTTCGGCTTCGAATCACCTTTGTCCAAGCGTTCAACCAACTTATAGTAAGGTCTCACAACTTATCAGGTGCTCTAAGGATAACATGGTATTCTAGCACCCGAGTTTAGCCACCATTTTCACACTCAAAGTTAATTCCTTGAGGCACAACCGCGATTACCACTTCCACTCTCCGTGCCGCATTCATGAGCTGTCTTTACCTCCGGAAAGAAACAGCAATATTCCCTGATTGCTGCCATAAACCCCCATGACAGATCTCAGAGTTTCCGTGTTTAGTCAATTCCAACCATACAACTTACTGCCAAGTTCCTCTATTACCTCTTCTTACTTATCCAGCACTTCAACCTGCCGACCCAGCGGTGACGGTCAGCTGATGTGTTTAGGCCTTGAACAGGTTAACTGGGTGGATACCCCTGAATTAAGGAACAGATGCTCTAGAGACATGCGGTTATGAGATACTTGCTATGCAACCTTCTTGGTCTGCTGACTGGATCAACCCCTAGATTCGACAATGATCATCCTCTGACATGATTGCTGTTAGGCGTGCTGACATGGGACTTCCAGAGAAAAGGCGCCTCCGTCATCAGCGTGCTACAACCGCAATCCAACCGGGACTTCTTCCTGCAAAGTCATGGGCCCAGTGAGTGGGAGTGCTCGCTGTTCAGGGCCTAGAGGTCAAGAGCAACTTGGGTTGCTCAGACAGACAAATCCAGACAGACAGACTGAAACAGATACACATGTAAAACAACACCTGACACGAGAAAGTACATCTCTTTTGGCAACAATGAGTACCACAACTCATGACCACTACGAGGCGTGCACCCTTCAAGACACAACCTCGTATAGCTCCTTCCTCAGCAATCTTCCTCGCTCTCTTCTGAGTTTCCTCCGTCCACACCCTCTTAGAGGTCTTTTCGCTGTACCCACCACAGTAACACCTCAAAATGTCCTGTATGATTCGTATGGGTCTAGAACTGAATCAACCTCTGTAAGCACCAGCCACAGCACACTAAATGACTTAAATACTGAGTCCCATGACGCTTTACCAAAAAATTCACCGCATGAGCTAGTCTCTATGACTGTCCGTGCCTCGATACGTGCATACCGCAGGGGCTTCAACAATGTTTCTACAATGAGAACACCCTCCGACCCTGGTGAGCTTATGTGTTCGTCTCTGCCCAGAGTAATTAAAGCTGAACTTCGGAGGTCTTTAAAATCCTAGTCCTCTCTTCAACTTGTGCTACACACTTCAATCCTAGACTGCCTTAGCCATGTACCGCTCACCCCTACCCCCTGGCCAGGTATAAAGATCCCATTGCCCCACTACCAACTAGTGCGCCAAAAGTGCCGTGCCTTCAATCTGCTTTGTCCGGAACTTGAAACTAACGTAGCCGCAATTTGTCAGCTGCACTCATCCCAATCGCACATTCTCTTAGGCCCACACCAGAAATGTGAGCAAGAGTGTAACCTTTCCATCAAACTTCAAGACTAGGCGATGCTGTCCCAGCTGCGCGGTCTCGTGGAGCCAATCTGTGGTGAATCGGTGGTGTACACG